TGCGTGAAATTGGGCGAATAAGTATATAAAAAGCATTAAGGAAACCTTCGCGTTTGTTGAACCCGCTGTTATTTAGTGTAGGGGAGCGGTTCAAATGTTCGATATCAGAATTAAAAAGAAATAGACTAAATTAACTGTGTCAGTTTATTTACCGTTCAAGTCAGTAGTCAGTAAATAACCGCTCTCAATGCGTCATATTACCACTCTCGAAAAAAAGGGCAACCGTGGTGTATAAGATAACACTGAAAAAGTAGTCAACTTGATATGCATGTCTTTAGAAGCTTGCTACTACAGCTTTATTAATCACAGCGAAGTAGATTTGGCTTGACAAAATATTATCGCTCCGCTCTTATATGTAAATGTACCTGGGAATCGATGCACTGCATAGACATTTGCATTTATCCTACATGACTGGCTTTCCTTTGTTTCGAAGTTCTAAACAACGAAAGTAGCTCTTCTTGTCTCGCCTCTCTCTATCTAGAGAAGCCAACTCATCAACTTGAGTGAATTCAGCCTGGTTCCCTGGGTATGTAGCACAAGCGCAACATACCCAGGGACCAGGCTGGAGTGATTATTTTACGGCACTTCACGTCTTTCGCACGTCGATGTTAATGGCGTAAACATAGATAATATTGCTAAAACAGTTTTAACACTGTCGTCGTGGTTTTCAGATTGAACCTATGTCAAGGAAATAGAGTTGTGAATATATGAGATTTCAGGTTATAATTGTTTAATGTCGTTACAGCACGGAAAATAACATTTGTGGCAGTGACCTTCACCCCTTAACATATCCGGTTGTAAGAAAGACGTGTGAGTTTTAAAAACATTTACATTTGTTTTAATTCATAATGAAAGGGGTGGAAAAGAAGGGATGTGAAGCGATCTTACGTAAACTTGCCCAAGAAGAAGTTATGTCATTGAAAGACACTGTCACAAAGCGGCAGATTGCAGCTGAAAATAAAACAGGTTTGTAGGCTAGAACTCTAAATCACCTCATGTCGTCTTGACGGAAGATAGGCTACACATTAACTGTATAGGATGTAGGACTACTGCACTTTACCATGCTTATTGGACTATTTATATCTTGCAAGTGATGAAACATTGCGGGTACCGATCGGAATTTCCGGCTTGTCTAAGGCTACATGGGAAGGTGCTGTCGTTCCCATGTACCGTGCATAGCGCAAAAGATACGAGTGTCTGTGGTCCCATGCAGGGGAGCAAATGCTGGTTATGCGATAAATAAATCCAAATATAAATTACAAATTTATCATTGTCTCCTGATTTGGGTCTGAAATGAACCTGTTGAAACTAAGGGTAATTAGATATTCTTCCCCGCCCTTAAGGCGGGGAAGTATACGGGAGAGGTTAAATTTTTAGCATGTAAGTCGACATGTTGGTTTCTTTTAAATTTCAAGCCACACAGTTACCGAAACGAAACATACAAATCATGTGAAATGTGCGTGAAATGTTGATGTTTATCTTTTCCAGCAATCTTGTTTTTAAAAGATTTAAAAATGATCCCATTTCGCTAAAGTTAACCGGTCTATATTTTGTAAGAATAAACTATTGCGCATTGGGCGATTATCTCCTTTAGCTATAGGCGCAGTATAGAAGTGATAAATCACGCACTGTCCTTGCATTGCTGTACATCGTATCTTATTCAAGCTGTATCACTGAGAGTGATTATCTCCCTTACCCGAACAGCTCAATTGCGCCTTACCTTTGCAATGTATCGTATGTTATTCAGGCAGCCATCGAGGAAACGTTCCAGGAAGGAATTTAGGCCAAGCCTGTCACGCGCACTCTTTTTTCACACTGCCATTGCAACATATTGTTCAACACGATTAAATAACAGGCTTCTATAAAATATGACTTTGTTCAATAAAGAACACATGTAAAACAACGGCTTTGATATGAACAATATTTTATTAGTTGTCTTCATAATCACATGTATGGCGCTTGCTGTGCATAGCTGAGCACAGCATTGTTTTAAATACTTCACTGTATGTAATGTATGGTACATACCGTTTCATGCGGCGGTTTACGTTTCTGCATGGTTTATTGCTTTGACAACAACAAAAACAACCTCCAGCAGAGATCATACACCCGTACATGTTCTTTGCTTCTGGATACATAGGAAATCAACAGGTTGGTCTGTAGTTTGCAATTATTTTCCAAAAGGATAATACGTTTGCATGATATCTTCACGATGTTTGGGTTGAACATAGTAACATTCTTTCAAACAAATTTCAAATCTAAGCCGGAAGCAATCACAACACAAACCCAGTTAACCAAACGGAACCATACACAAGAGTGAGTGAGGTAGTTGGGTTTAACGCCGTCTTGAATAGTATTCCGTGTCAGCTTCACGTGGGAGGAAAGTCTGAAGTGATGCAGGTCTTAGACGTTCACCACTTTGGTGAAACCAACGAGCAAGGGTTTTGTGCTGACAACAAAATCGGGGCGAACCGAGATTCAAACACACTGTCATAGGTTTCTGGCGTGCCAAAGGGACACAACTCTGCATAGCGAATTGCAGCGCCTTCGGCGACTGGGCCAACCATGCCCCCATAAACAACTGTAAGAAACTATTATACAACAAAGATGTTTTAGATGAGATATGTATTGCAAGTAACATACATGGCTATTTACAGTGCTGAAAAGTGCTGTAAAAAAATATCATATCCACTGCAGGTCAGGTGTGTGAAATCCACTTGGTATGGGCATAGATTCATATACATTGTACTACAATGTTTGTCCTATTCATTTTAATTTCTGACAATATGATCATTATGTGCATAGATTTATACATACTCCCTTTTGGTTTCACTTCTCCAAACACCTGCTCCCGTATCACCTTCCATCGGTATAGCATGCATCCATAACAACAGACAGCTTTCACTCACTCTAAAACTCAACCTCATAACATATGTTCTGAATGTAAAAATAGGGACATGTCTGATATCTTGATACCTCTCTCTGTCATTCTGAACAGAGTCAGCCTTTAAGGACATAAGGACGTTACAAAAAAGTAAATTTCTAGATTATTATTTTTTCATGCCTAGGTTTATGTCCATATTAAGCTCAATTCACATAACAGAAAGTGTGGCTAATATCTTCTACAGAAATAAACTATCTCGTCTACAAAATATGTACAATTCTTAATTGTTCAGCAATATTCAATTACACATTTCAGGGTTGATTCAAGTGCACCTTATCAACACCATTCACTTTTATAAAGATGAAAATCAATTCCGAAAATTTACTTAAAATGCAGCATGCGTGTTGCTGTATGCAATAGAAATGACATAATCAAAGCAATCTCTACCAATAGCAGAGTTCAACCTTCAAACTACAAATTACAGCATCATTCATTATATATACAGGGTTTATGATGAAGTCTTCTCACTGCTTTATTAGCAGGATTTGTTTTGTCCAAATGGCTATGTGAAACATAATATATCCCCAATCACTACTGCAAGTTCGCCTCTCAAATACAAGTTATATACATGGCTATTTACAGTGCTGAAAAGTTTCAATAAATATGTTCAATATATTCAAGTATTTAAGTGAGAGGCCACTTTATGATGTTGTACTGGGTAAATTCATGTGACAAAAATGTACAGATGGTGATCAAGTCCACTCACACACAAAAAAGGCACATTGGAAGAAAATACTGTTTTAAAACAAACACATTGGAATCATGAGTTAAAATACATAGAAGAAACAAGGAAATATCATATCCACTGCAGGTCAGGTGTGTGAAATCCACTTGGTATGGGCATAGATACATATACATTGTTCTACAATGTTCGTCCTATTCATTTTAATTTCTGACAATATGATCATTATGTGCATAGATTTATACATACTCCCTTTTGGTTTCACTTCTCCAAACACCTGCTCCCGTATCACCTTCCATCGGTATAGCATGCATCCATAACAACAGACAGCTTTCACTCACTCTAAAACTCAACCTCATAACATATGTTCTGAATGTAAAAATAGGGACATGTCTGATATCTTGATACCTCTCTCTGTCATTCTGAACAGAGTCAGCCTTTAAGGACATAAGGACATTACAAAAAAGTAAATTTCTAGATTATTTCTTTTCATGCCTAGGTTTATGTCCATATTAAGCTCAATTCACATAACAGAAAGTGTGGCTAATATCTCCTACAGAAATAAACTATCTCGTCTACAAAATATGTACAATTCTTAATTGTTCAGCAATATTCAATTACACATTTCAGGGTTGATTCAAGTGCACCTTATCAACACCATTCACTTTTATAAAGATGAAAATCAATTCCGAAAATTCACTTAAAATGCAGCATGCGTGTTGCTGTATGCAATAGAAATGACATAATCAAAGCAATCTCTACCAATAGCAGAGTTCAACCTTCAAACTACAAATTACAGCATCATTCATTAAATATACAGGGTTATGATGAGGTCTTCACACTGCTTTATTAGCAGGATTTGTTTTGTCCAAATGGCTATGTGGAACAGAATATATCCCCAATCACTACTACAAGTTGGCCTCTCAAATACAAGTTATGTACATGGCTATTTACAGTGCTGAAAAGTTTCAATAAATATGTTCAATATATTCAAGTATTTAAGTGAGAGGCCACTTTATGATGTTGTACTGGGTAAATTCATGTGACAAAAATGTACAGATGGTGATCAAGTCCACTCACACAAAAAAGGCACATTGGAAGAAACTTCTGTTTTAAAGCAAACACATTGGAATCATGAGTTAAAATACATAGAAGAAACAAGGAAATATCATATCCACTGCAGGTCTGGTGTGTGAAATCCACTTGGTATGGGCATAGATACATATATATTATACAACAAAGTTTGTCATTTTCATTTCTGACAATTTGATCATTATATACATAGATTTATGCATACTTGCTTCAGGTTCACTTCAGGCTTAACAACATATTACCAGTTCATTTCAATATAAATATAAGTCTATTTTTCAGTAGCCATTCATCAGAATTTGAACAAAAATATAATACTCTGGCATCCTCACCAATGCAACAAAATACAGGGTTTGTAGCACTCATAATACATTACAGTACTTTCATACTAATTGGAGAGATTTAAGGGCAGTAGGGACAGTGTCCAAAATGCCCAGCATTCCCATGTTAACAAGGCCTACACACTTTCATTCTATACACTTCTCCAAACACCTGCTCCCGTTTCACTTTCCATCGGTATAGCATGCATCCATAACAACAGACAGCTTTCACTCACTCTAAAACTCAACCCCATAACATATCTTGTGAATGTAAAAATAAGGACATGTCTGATATATTGATACCCCTCTCTGTACATTCTAAACAGAGTCAGCCTTTAAGGACATAAGGACATTACAAAAAAGTAAATTTCTAGATTAATTTTTTTTCAGCCTAGGTTTATGTCCATATAAAGCTCAATTCACATAAAAGACAGTGTGGCTAATATCTCCTACAGAAATAAACTATCTCGTCTACAAAATATGTACAATTCTTAATTGTTCAGCAATATTCAATTACACATTTCAGGGTTGATTCAGGTGCACCTTATCAACACCATTCACTTTTATAAAGATGAAAAACAATTCCGAAAATTCACTTAAAATGCAGCATGCGTGTTGCTGTATGCAATAGAAGTGACATAATCAAAGCAATCTCTACCAATAGCAGAGTTCAACCTTCAAACTACAAATTACAGCATCATTCATTAAATATACAGGGTTATGATGAAGTCTTCTCACTGCTTTATTAGCAGGATTTGTTTTGTCCAAATGGCTATGTGAAACATAATATATCCCCAATCACTACTACAAGTTGGCCTCTCAAATACAAGTTATATACATGGCTATTTACAGTGCTGAAAAGTTTCAATAAATATGTTCAATATATTCAAGTATTTAAGTGAGAGGCCACTTTATGATGTTGTACTGGGTAAATTCATGTGACAAAAATGTACAGATGGTGATCAAGTCCACTCACACACAAAAAAGGCACATTGGAAGAAAATACTGTTTTAAAACAAACACATTGGAATCATGAGTTAAAATACATAGAAGAAACAAGGAAATATCATATCCACTGCAGGTCAGGTGTGTGAAATCCACTTGGTATGGGCATAGATACATATATATTATACAACAAAGTTTGTCATTTTCATTTCTGACAATTTGATCATTATATACATAGATTTATGCATACTTGCTTCAGGTTCACTTCAGGCTTAACAACATATTACCAGTTCATTTCACTATAAATATAAGTCTATTTTTTAGTAGCCATTCATCAGAATTTGAACAAAAATATAATACTCTGGCATCCTCATCAATGCAAAAAATACAGAGTTTGTAGCACTCATAATACATTACAGTACTTTCATACTAATTGGAGAGATTTAAGGGCAGTAGGGACAGTGCCCCAAATGCCCAGCATTCCCATGTTAACAAGGCCTACACCCTTTCATTCTATACACTTCTCCAAACACCTGCTCCCGTTTCACCTTCCATCGGTATAGCATGCATCCATAACAACAGACAGCTTTCGCTCACTCTAAAACTCAACCTCATAACATATCTTGTGAATGTAAAAATAAGAACATGTCTGATATCCCTCTCTCTGTCATTCTGAACAGAGTCAGCCTTTTAGGACATAAGGACATTACAAAAAAGTAAATTTCTAGATTATTTTTTTCCTGCCTAGGTTTATGTCCATATTAAGCTCAATTCACATAACAGAAAGTGTGGCTAATATCTCCTACAGAAATAAACTATCTCGTCTACAAAATATGTACAATTCTTAATTGTTCAGCAATATTCAATTACACATTTCAGGGTTGATTCAAGTGCACCTTATCAACACCATTCACTTTTATAAAGATGAAAATCAATTCCGAAAATTCTCTTAAAATGCAGCATGCGTGTTGCTGTATGCAATAGAAATGACATAATCAAAGCAATCTCTACCAATAGCAGAGTTCAACCTTCAAACTACAAATTACAGCATCATTCATTAAATATACAGGGTTATGATGAAGTCTTCTCACTGCTTTATTAGCAGGATTTGTTTTGTCCAAATGGCTATGTGGAACATAATATATCCCCAATCACTACTACAAGTTGGCCTCTCAAATACAAGTTATATACATGGCTATTTACAGTGCTGAAAAGTTTCAATAAATATGTTCAATATATTCAAGTATTTAAGTGAGTGGCGATTTTATTATGTTGTACTGGGTAAATTCATGTGACGAAAATGTACAGATGGTTTACAAGTCCACTTACACACCAAAAAAGAACATTGGAAGAAATTACTGTTTTAAAACAAACACATTGAAATCATGAGTTAAAATACATAGAAGAAACAAGGAAATATCATATCCATTGCAGGTCAGGTGTGTGAAATCCACTTGGTATGGGCATAGATACATATACATTGTACTACAATGTTTGTCCTACTCATTTTAATTTCTGACAAAATGATCATTATGTGCATAGATTTATACATACTCCCTTTTGGTTTCACTTCTCCAAACACCTGCTCCCGTATCACCTTCCATCGGTATAGCATGCATCCATAACAACAGACAGCTTTCACTCACTCTAAAACTCAACCTCATAACATATGTTCTGAATGTAAAAATAGGGACATGTCTGATATCTTGATACCTCTCTCTGTCATTCTGAACAGAGTCAGCCTTTAAGGACATAAGGACATTACAAAAAAGTAAATTTCTAGATTATTTTTGTACCTGCCTAGGTATATGTCCATATTAAGCTCAATTCACATAACAGAAAGTGTGGCTAATATCTTCTACAGAAATAAACTATCTTGTCTACAAAATATGTACAATTCTTAATTGTTCAGTAATATTCAATTACACATTTCAGGGTTGATTCAAGTGCACCATTCACTTTTATAAAGATGAAAATCAATTCCGAAAATTCACTTAAAATGCAGCATAGCATGCTATGTGAAACATTATATATCCCCAATCACTACTACAAGTTGGCCTCTCAAATACAAGTTATATACATGGCTATTTACAGTGCTGAAAAGTTTCAATAAATATGTTCAATATATTCAAATATTTAAGTGAGTGGCGATTTTATTATGTTGTACTGGGTAAATTCATGTGACAGAAATGTACAGATGGTTATCAAGTCCACTCACACACAAAAAAAGAACATTGGAAGAAATTACTGTTTTAAAACAAACACATTGAAATCATGAGTTAAAATACATAGAAGAAACAAGGAAATATCATATCCACTGCAGGTCAGGTGTGTGAAATCCACTTGGTATGGGCATAGATACATATACATTGTACTACAATGTTTGTCCTACTCATTTTAATTTCTGACAATATGATCATTATGTGCATAGATTTATACATACTCCCTTTTGGTTTCACTTCTCCAAACACCTGCTCCCGTATCACCTTCCATCGGTATAGCATGCATCCATAACAACAGACAGCTTTCACTCACTCTAAAACTCAACCTCATAACATATGTTCTGAATGTAAAAATAGGGACATGTCTGATATCTTGATACCTCTCTTTGTCATTCTGAACAGAGTCAGCCTTTAAGGACGTAAGGACATTACAAAAAAGTAAATTTCTAGATTATTTTTTTACCTGCCTAGGTTTATGTCCATATTAAGCTCAATTCACATAACAGAAAGTGTGGCTAATATCTTCTACAGAAATAAACTATCTTGTCTACAAAATATGTACAATTCTTAATTGTTCAGTAATATTCAATTACACATTTCAGGGTTGATTCAAGTGCACCATTCACTTTTATAAAGATGAAAATCAATTCCGAAAATTCACTTAAAATGCAGCATAGCATGCTATGTGAAACATTATATATCCCCAATCACTACTACAAGTTGGCCTCTCAAATACAAGTTATATACATGGCTATTTACAGTGCTGAAAAGTTTCAATAAATATGTTCAATATATTCAAGTATTTAAGTGAGTGGCGATTTTATTATGTTGTACTGGGTAAATTCATGTGACAAAAATGTACAGATGGTTATCAAGTCCACTCACACAAAAAAAAAGAACATTGGAAGAAATTACTGTTTTAAAACAAACACATTGAAATCATGAGTTAAAATACATAGAAGAAACAAGGAAATATCATATCCACTGAGGGACAGGTGTGTGAAATCCACTTGGTATGGGCATAGATACATATACATTGTACTACAATGTTTGTCCTACTCATTTTAATTTCTGACAATATGATCATTATGTGCATAGATTTATACATACTCCCTTTTGGTTTCACTTCTCCAAACACCTGCTCCCGTATCACCTTCCATCGGTATAGCATGCATCCATAACAACAGACAGCTTTCACTCACTCTAAAACTCAACCTCATAACATATGTTCTGAATGTAAAAATAGGGACATGTCTGATATCTTGATACCTCGCTCTGTCATTCTGAACAGAGTCAGCCTTTAAGGACATAAGGACATTACAAAAAAGTAAATTTCTAGATTATTTTTGTACCTGCCTAGGTATATGTCCATATTAAGCTCAATTCACATAACAGAAAGTGTGGCTAATATCTTCTACAGAAATAAACTATCTTGTCTACAAAATATGTACAATTCTTAATTGTTCAGTAATATTCAATTACACATTTCAGGGTTGATTCAAGTGCACCATTCACTTTTATAAAGATGAAAATCAATTCCGAAAATTCACTTAAAATGCAGCATAGCATGCTATGTGAAACATTATATATCCCCAATCACTACTACAAGTTGGCCTCTCAAATACAAGTTATATACATGGCTATTTACAGTGCTGAAAAGTTTCAATAAATATGTTCAATATATTCAAGTATTTAAGTGAGTGGCGATTTTATTATGTTGTACTGGGTAAATTCATGTGACAAAAATGTACAGATGGTTATCAAGTCCACTCACACACAAAAAAAGAACATTGGAAGAAATTACTGTTTTAAAACAAACACATTGAAATTCTGAGTTAAAATACATAGAAGAAACAAGGAAATATCATATCCACTGCAGGTCAGGTGTGTGAAATCCACTTGGTATGGGCATAGATACATATACATTGTTCTACAATGTTCGTCCTATTCATTTTAATTTCTGAAAATATGATCATTATGTGCATAGATTTATACATACTCCCTTTTGGTTTCACTTCTCCAAACACCTGCTCCCGTATCACCTTCCATCGGTATAGCATGCATCCATAACAACAGACAGCTTTCACTCACTCTAAAACTCAACCTCATAACATATGTTCTGAATGTAAAAATAGGGACATGTCTGATATCTTGATACCTCTCTCTGTCATTCTGAACAGAGTCAGCCTTTAAGGACATAAGGACATTACAAAAAAGTAAATTTCTAGATTATTTTTTTTCATGCCTAGGTTTATGTCCATATTAAGCTCAATTCACATAACAGAAAGTGTGGCTAATATCTCCTACAGAAATAAACTATCTCGTCTACAAAGTATGTACAATTCTTAATTGTTCAGCAATATTCAATTACACATTTCAGGGTTGATTCAAGTGCACCTTATCAACACCATTCACTTTTAAAAAGATGAAAATCAATTCCGAATATTCACTTAAAATGCAGCATGCGTGTTGCTGTATGCAATAGAAATGACATAATCAAAGCAATCTCTACCAATAGCAGAGTTCAACCTTCAAACTACAAATTACAGCATCATTCATTAAATATACAGGGTTATGATGAAGTCTTCTCACTGCTTTATTAGCAGGATTTGTTTTGTCCAAATGGCTATGTGGAACAGAATATATCCCCAACCACTACTACAAGTTGGCCTCTCAAATACAAGTTATATACATGGCTATTTACAGTGCTGAAAAGTTTCAATAAATATGTTCAATATATTCAAGTATTTAAGTGAGTGGCGATTTTATTATGTTGTACTGGGTAAATTCATGTGACGAAAATGTACAGATGGTTATCAAGTCCACTCACACAAAAAAAAGATCATTGGAAGAAATTACTGTTTTAAAACAAACACATTGAAATCATGAGTTAAAATACATAGAAGAAACAAGGAAATATCATATCCACTGCAGGTCAGGTGTGTGAAATCCACTTGGTATGGGCATAGATACATATACATTGTACTACAATGTTTGTCCTACTCATTTTAATTTCTGACAATATGATCATTATGTGCATAGATTTATACATACTCCCTTTTGGTTTCACTTCTCCAAACACCTGCTCCCGTATCACCTTCCATCGGTATAGCATGCATCCATAACAACAGACAGCTTTCACTCACTCTAAAACTCAACCTCATAACATATGTTCTGAATGTAAAAATAGGGACATGTCTGATATCTTGATACCTCTCTCTGTCATTCTGAACAGAGTCAGCCTTTAAGGACATAAGGACATTACAAAAAAGTAAATTTCTAGATTATTTTTGTACCTGCCTAGGTATATGTCCATATTAAGCTCAATTCACATAACAGAAAGTGTGGCTAATATCTTCTACAGAAATAAACTATCTTGTCTACAAAATATGTACAATTCTTAATTGTTCAGTAATATTCAATTACACATTTCAGGGTTGATTCAAGTGCACCATTCACTTTTATAAAGATGAAAATCAATTCCGAAAATTCACTTAAAATGCAGCATAGCATGCTATGTGAAACATTATATATCCCCAATCACTACTACAAGTTGGCCTCTCAAATACAAGTTATATACATGGCTATTTACAGTGCTGAAAAGTTTCAATAAATATGTTCAATATATTCAAGTATTTAAGTGAGTGGCGATTTTATTATGTTGTACTGGGTAAATTCATGTGACAAAAATGTACAGATGGTTATCAAGTCCACTCACACACAAAAAAAGAACATTGGAAGAAATTACTGTTTTAAAACAAACACATTGAAATCATGAGTTAAAATACATAGAAGAAACAAGGAAATATCATATCCACTGCAGGGCAGGTGTGTGAAATCCACTTGGTATGGGCATAGATACATATACATTGTTCTACAATGTTCGTCCTATTCATTTTAATTTCTGACAATATGATCATTATGTGCATAGATTTATACATACTTGTTTTAGGTTTGAGTCACAAACACATAATAGGACTCTTTCAAATACAGCTTATTTAAGGCCATGATAAAATCATGTATGTTCACATTAGACACACAAACAAACATCTTCCATACATAATTTGTCATGTATCACTGTAAACCTATTATCAAATGTCATTCAGGTCTAGGGTGTATTCGGTCAATGTTCATGATGTCCTTAATGCTTTAAACATATGTCTTCCCTTTTTCAACCAATGAGCTCACCCGCTCTCTGGAGAACACGTTCCGATATATCACAAGCCTCCCTTGCATTTGTATGGGAAAATGTCTCTGCTGGTATGTAAGGGAACTTCAGTTTCTTTGGGTACTGTGCATGGCTGGTATTCTGTACAATGCTCAGCAGTTTGCGAACCATGTCTCGCATGCTCTCTTCCTGCAGTGTGTACACCACCAAGGAGAGATCCTGTGTCCTCTGCTCATCTCCTTCCTTTGCGTCTCTGTAGTACAGAAGGGCCTTGACTGCCTTATCACACGCCTGAAACACACACCTATTGTTTAACTGTGTGTATGAATGATGTATTGTAGAAACCAGAATAGCAGACATAGTTATCACGTTCTTTCTTGGTACCTTGGTACAGTGTCTCGACATAATTAAAGATGTATCATTGATGGACATCTATGATATGGTGCACACTAACATATACTCATATTAAGTAATAATAGGTTAGCTCAAGTTTTCTATTTTCATTTTGAGGATGCGCTAAGTAAATATCAAACTTAAATTTAATCTCTGCTTGAGGTTTCAAGTGACATTTAGCTGTCAACAACACAGAAAGTCCACATGTACATCTTAAATAATGTGTAGCACATGACGTTTATCCCATCATTTCACGTAGACGTAGTGACCAAACCCATCACAATGCATTATACACCCATGAGTTGATATCTCTACAGCATCTCAATTATGAAAGATTGTATGTGTTCAAGATAAAGATGTAAAAAGAAAGGTTTACTGAGATTACATAAGCAGTGAGACCTACCATGTAGCACTGGAAGCAGCTCCAGTTGTAGGCAGATACTAATTGCATGGTCTCTCTTGCCACTCTCAGATCCTCCCGTGCTTGTCTCATCCACCTCCTGGCCTCTTCAGGCTGAGGATTAGGTTTCTCTGTATGATGAGCCCTGTATGATGACCTGCCTGACTGGGAGTGAAAGCCATGAGAGAAGAAGTCGCCGTCATCATCCCAGTAATGTTCATAGTCATGCCGATGACGTTTGCTCCGGCGGTTCATTTCTTCATAAAACCAGTTGGATCTCTCTGTTCTTGGCTTTGCATTAGTATGTCCTGGGGCTTGATCTATATTTTGACCCTTCTCCAACATTTCAATATAATTCTGTATCCGCTGAAATACTTTGGTACAAAACTCTTCATTACCTTGATTCTTGTCTGGATGCCATTTAAACAACAAACGTTTCTTTACTTTCTCTCTTTGCTTAGTGTCTGGCATTTGCCATGCCACCTTCAATGTTTCACGTATTTCTTTCAGCACACTGTCCATATCAAGAGGCTTGTCTTCAGATGGTGTTGCCTGTTGCTCTTTTCGTGGGACCTCTGTCTCAGTCTCAGGTCCAGGTGTATTTCCCTCATCATGCTGTGACCTATTAGAGGGCACAATCTCTCTACACTGAGATCGTTTCTGACGCTGAAACTTGAAAAGATCCAGGGCAGATACTTCTTGTGTCCCCTCTTCTCCTACGTCAACGGCATATCTATCAAGAATTGGCAAAGTTTCACTTATCAGGATTTGTTTCACCTTGGCATAGATATAAACTGGACCTGAGTCTGGATTTGGCAGGGCTGATCCTTCTTGCCCTATTCTATCATCTGTGAGTGGGTCATATATTTCCATTCCAACATATTCCTCCACATCAAACCGAGTAAAGCTATTATCAAGCATCCAGTGGAACTCCTCTGGAATCCTTGTTCCAGGTGGTGGAAATACAGAGTCTTTTATATAGCTGCATATGTAACTTGTCGGCTGGACACTCATCCCATCTAGATAGGCTTTAATCTTTCCTGGATCACATGCAAGCGTACCAACCAGTGAATATAGGCCACTTGTGATGTATCCCCCTGTTAGCTTGTTAATTGCTGTGGCCAGTTTACTATGAAGAAGCACTTGATTCAGTTTTCTGGTGTTGATGTAAACAGTTACTTTGTTTTCGTCTTCATAATCAAGAAAACATGGTTTCTCTCTGTCACTCTCTTCAACTACCAGGCCACCATGAATCAATACAGTTTTCAGACCTGTGATTTGCTTAATGCTCATATTCGCTAATTTCATCTCAATGTTTTTCAGTTCTGTTTCTGTGAGCTTTTCTACTCTCCCCAAACGCCGGCTATCGTTTATAAGTCTTATGAGGCCAATCACAAACCCAGGATTTGTGATTTTTTGACTGTATTCACTCGAGACTGAACCTTCAGTGGCTTTGTTGTGACTGGTTTCACACATGACCTCATTTGTCATCTGATCAAGAATCTTAGGTCTATATATTTCTGGCAGCTGTTCAAAAACATCAACTTCATTTGTTTTAGAAATCTCCAATCTTCTGAAACCAACAAAGTATCTGAAATTCAAAGTCTTTACTCTGTTCTCAAGTGATTCATTATCAGCAATGACCAAACTTGTTGACTTGGTCAGTTTGTGGTCTCTGTCCAAGAGGAATAAATATTGAACTGCTAGAGCGATTTTGTTATCCTTTTCTTCCTCCTGTAAACACTTGAAGAGCATGCCTGTTGCCTTCTGGACGATCTTAAGTTCATTTGGTTCCAGTTTACCATCCGCAGTTGTCTGTGCAAGAACCTGTAGAACCTCAGCATAGTGATTAGTTGTCACTTCTGGTGCTGCACCAAGCAGGGAAAACAGCTTGAAGTATGGACCAAACTCCACTGGCGCTTTATATATACCTTGCATTGTGTCTGTCCCTGATACTTCTAGCACAACTTGTGATGGTCGTACAAATAATCCTTCTTGAGGTAAAAATACAACGAAAGCAGCCTTTAGTTGTTTCTTCAATTTCTCAGTCAAATTTGAAGTGTTATCTTGAAGAAACGTGTAAATTGATTTGAGAACCATTTCCAGTAGCTCCACCAGACCCGGACCCTTGTGCGGACACGTTTGTTGTCGTTGTTCAAGTGATGTACTTATATTCACTATATGCTGAACCACTGATTCAATGGAGGGTTCCTTCTTTATCCCGAGCAGCAATGTCATTTTCTCTCTGTCCTTTCGTGAATGTCCATTCTTGTAATAATCAGGATCCGCATAGTGGTGAAACATGGCACAACTTGTCCATATATAGTGACAGTGCTTTGAAGACACAGAGTCAGCATATGCTATCAGTTTCCCTTGTTGAAACTGGGGAAGGATTCGTTTTGTCATGTCTTTCTCATTTGATTCCTTCTCCATGTTGTGGGGCATCACAAATTTGATGTTCTTAACTCGTGAGAGAAGTGATCCTTTCAGCAACCCTTCTTGTTTTTCAAACAAGTGCTTTGTGAGCAGCTTTGATTTGTGTTCCACAGCTCTTGTGATAGGTGTGACATTCATGTCCTCTACTGATCTAGCAAACTTCTCAAAATCCTCTTCTGACACCTTTATTACAATTCCAGACTCTTTTAGGAAGGTTTCCCATTCTGGACTGTCATATGGTGGTGGTGGAAATTTGTCCTCTGAAAGGAATTCTGCAAATAGTGTCCCTCGTTTCAAGTAATATTCACAGGCCCTGTGCAACGATCCATCTTTGTCTTCAATGAAGTGTAACCGTTTAAGACACTGAATCAGGTTTTTTTGCACACTGCTGTAATTTAATAAAAATGATGTTTTCAACAAATGGTCTCTGACATACTGTAAATGAACAGCTTGAGTGGGTTTTGGGAGATGGCTGAATTTCTCAAGGATAATCTTTTCATATAATTCTTCAGGAGAAAGTATTTGAACCTTTAAAAACTCAAAAAGGTTTTTGTTGCTATCCGAACATTTCAGGAGGCACGTTTTGAGCCCAAGTGACCATGTCTCTATTCCATCTTGTGGAATATTGTCATGCTCAATGACAGCATAGACTCTAGCCATTTTCATGTGTTGGCAGGATCCAGATAAATCTTCATAAATGGGCAGAGATCTTAGTAGCTCTGTTGCCACTGGTATTTCAAGCGTCTGTAGATCCTTTAGATGGGTGCAAAAATATTGCTGCAATATTTTAGCTGAACCCTTCTTTATGCCAATAAGTTTGTCAGTGTGTTGTGCAAGTGCCTTGAGCGTAGAAGCTGGTCTTTGGAGATTTGCAACCAATGTCTTTGCTGATTTCACACATTCTTCATTATTGGAGGCAGTCTCACCAAAATCAAGCTGGGGTACACTTAGTTTAGAAAAGGCTGTTTTATAGGTCATGTTTGTCATGCCAAGAAGGTCTAAAATTTTGTCAGAGTCACAAATTGGAAATAAATAGATCACAGTTTGAACTTTCTCAGTTACTTTGGCAGGTAGGATGCACACTTGACTCAAAGAGGATAGGCTGGATTTGACACTATCTATATGAGGAGTCATTTTTGATGAAGCAACAATTTCCCTGTGAAGAAAATCCCAGATTTCAAGAATCCATTGAGGAGATGGTTTACCACTGCGTTTCCATGGAATTGGAACAGTGCTGATTATATGACCCATTGTGTCTGGCAGAAGAGTGCTCAGTGTTTGAATGTCAAGTTTCCTAAGTGTATCTGATTTATCTGTAAAACCAGAGTACAACTGTTCCATTGATCTATGCATTGCCATTCCTGGTGATCCTTTGATCAACTCCGTAAAAACAGTGACAACTGTTGGTAGCTGTGAAGTGAAACATCTCAGAATCGAATCTTGTGTCAGAAGAAGAGGTAGGCCATCTAATGAATCAAGAAAAGTTGAACTCTTTTTGCAGTAACTTGTCAAAAAGGTCAAGGCATGGGTGTCCTTTAGAGGAGTTAACTTGATGTCTAAAGGGAGTCTTGCAAGTTGACATCTATCCTGATTGTTGTTGGTGAATGACTTCAAAAATTCAATCACATTATCTGGTGATATACAGGAAACCTCCAAGTCAGCCTCCTGAAACTGATGGTAGATGGACAGTGGCATATCTATTATCTTCATCCCCAAATCTTTGAGAATTTCCACAAGCTTTGGGACTTTAACATGCTGGGCTGTTGAATCACCCTTTGTTTCAGGAACTGGGATATCGTTAAAGTATCCTGGGAATCCAGTAGATGAGGCAACTGAAACCCAATCAAATTTGACAAGCCTTGTTTGATTTTGTGATCTGGAATTTGCAGAAAATTTGCCATCTAGTGGTTTGATAACAGGAAAAAGAGCTGTGTAATTCTGTACAATATGCCTATAAAAGCATGTGGCTAACAATTTCCAATAGTCATCTGAAGTGCCTGCTATCACAGGAAACAGGTTGATGAATGGTTTAAGCAGTTCATGAGACCTGAAATAATCTGGATCTTGCTGGGCACCAAGCAGTTCTGGTCCTATCAGAGTTTCAAGACCTGATACATAAGCAGGAACAATGACTTGTTCGATGATGGTTTCATTCCAAAGTGTGCGGAAAGGATGTGGACCATGCCATAGGTTCCCTCTAGCTTCATGATCTAATGCAAAATGTCCGTTTATGTGCACGGGGAGTTTTGTGGTGATGCGGAGGGGTAACATACAAAATGCTTTTCCTCGCACTGTATTGTCATCCAGTGGTATTGCTACACCACCTCGTGGTAACATACCAATCTTGCCATCTCTTTGGCATTCTTTAAGAATTTCAGGAACTTTACTGTTATCAGCAAAGCCACACTTATGAACAACCAGCCAGCTTTCTTGTTTTCCTTCAAGGCTCTTCACTTTCAGTACTACCTTTGTCTGCTTAGTGACATCCTGCTCTTTATGTTTGACATAGGTTCGTAAACCTGATACATAGTTTTTTAAAAGGCCAGCATGTTGGTCACTTATTTCCGCACTAACTGAAAAATCTTCAACAAGTCTCCCATCTTTCGTCACTGAATGTATTGATATGTTCTTGATATTGTGAAGAAACAACAGAGACTCAGCCATTTCATTTCTGAAATCGTTTAGCAGTTGTTCTATGCCCATTTCCCCTTCAATTGGAATTTCTTCATCAGATATATCAGACACCATTTCTTTTGTTCTCAGTGGCAGACGGAACAGGGTCCCTGATTTTCCAAAGTCTATAACATCCGTAAGATAGCATTTGAATATGTCCTGAAAATTGTACTGCAGCTCACCAGCAAGGAGTCTACAACCAGGGGCTTCAGATGTTGCCCATGGAATGTACTTCAGATTAGGATCTAAGAAACATACTGTTTCTGGTGTCCCTGGGCCAACTGTGAAAAATGATGGAACATCAGTTAAATGGTACACAGCATTAAAGCCTACACCATATTGTCCTGTCTTCAGGGCATCATCAGATTTGCTTCCAACGCCAAGAGATTGAATCCCCTCAAAGTCTTCCTCTGTAAAACTACTGTTGTTCCAAACACACAAAGCAGGGCCCTGTAAAGGTTTCCAACTATCGGCAAACACACTTTCAGTAGGATGGTTTCTGAAATCTTTGATGAATTTTAGCTCAGTAGCTCCTGCATCATCTGCATTTTGAAGAAGTTCCTTCATAATTGATGAATCCCTTGGATATCCTTCAAGGATTCCCCTCAGTCTCGTTGTCAGTTTCTCACGTTGGCCAAATGAAGTTGCTGACCATGGTAACAGTACTTTCTCAACACTGGCATGTATCAGTGTCTTGACTTTGAAATGTAGGGCTACGTCTTTTGATATGGAGGGATGAACAATTTGTATTCCTGAATCTTTCTTCAGGCGACTACAGTCGTCAAGACAAAGATCAGTTGCAGGCTTCAGGGAGTTTTCAGTGTCTGGTAAAAACATCTGCCATAATTCAGAGTTGACACAGTTTTCCTTCGCTGACAACTTGTATAATAAGTTAGCCATGTTGACATATAAAGTCACATCTTCCTTTCTCATTGGTTTATCCTTGTATGTTTCAGCCATCTTGTCAATTTGCTCTTTCACACAATCCACATCAAAGTGTTCCTTGATTCCAATAACCTGCAGGAAGTGCTTGTATAACAATCTTTGTGTTGGTTCAATTTGATACAGATATGGATGTAGGTCATACTCCAGATGAAATGCAACTTGCTGAGGAAACACTAGCATTTTATCATTAAGTATAACTTGCTTGCCTTTAAGCTTTGCTATAATGTCATGCTCTGGAGAGGTGCTGTCAACTTCCTTGCACAAAGCATCCAGGTGTTTATACAGGTTGTTTAAGATTTTGATTGATTCCTTACTCAGCTGAACTCCTGTGAGTATTTGTGTTGAAATGTGGAGCAATTGTTCACAAGCAACTGTTGCAGTTACAGATTTTGTGTCTTGAACACCAAGCCAAATTAGAACTTCTTTTAAAGAAAATAATCCATCCAGTTTGTATGAGTCAAGCAGAAGGTTACAACATCCAACTAAATCAGCTTCTTCATGAAAGAACAACTGAACAGGTGTTGAGAATACTGAAACTGTATCACCTTTCCACTTGAAAGGCCAATCTCTGGCTTTCTGCATTACTGGGAGAAAGGCCATGGTGGATATTTGCTGTCTTGCATCCTCTCCACATTTATGGAATCGCCTCCCACGGGTGCTGCTGTCATACTCATTGATATATTGTAGAATGTAGAGACACCTCTTCTCGGCTCGAGTATTATCCTCGAGACTCAGGTCTTGTACTGTTTCTATCCTTCCTATTACTGCTTCCCACGGAAGATCATTTTCTACCATACCCAGGCAACATAACTGCTTCAGGATTTCATGCCTTTCAAATGCCTCACTTGGAAAAATCTCTTCAGATTCAGTAAATAGTTGGGAAACCTTTCCTCTTGGATGGACTAGCTCCTTTGGCTTTCTTAGTTTTCCATTTGGTTTTGAAGGAATGCATTCATACTTCTTCAACAAAGCATCAATATTTGGAACACACATATTGACAGCATACAATGTCAGTGACTGACGATCTGAAGAATTTACCAGTTCAATATTTGGTAAGAAAACCTCCTTGTAGAAATCTTCAGTACTGACAACACGACTGTTGAAGGTTTCTGTAAGACCAGCTGATATGAAATTTTGGTAAATTCTTTCAGGTAGGTCAATAACTGTATCCTTTTCCCAGAATCTTTGAAGTACCCCGACAGCAGTTTTTCCAATAAACTCATTGTATGCTAAAGATGGGGACAAAAATATGGAGTTCTTGAATGCTACATAATTGACTGGATCACCTTGCAGAAAGACTTTGTATTCCTCTTCAGTAATCACCTTATAGAAACTTGTCACAATGGCTGGTTTCTCAAGTGAATTTTTGACATCTACACCCTTGTTCAACATGACACCAGGCCACAAGTTGTAATAGGCCTCAGCATCATTCTGAGTAAGATTCTCGAGTCCTGTCAGAGTGCAGATTATTGTTCGACTGATAACCTCAGTTGCTAAGTGTTTGTTCCAGGAACCAGGAATTGATGTTTTGTCGTCCTCTGTTTTTTCACACAATCGCCTCCTGTCTTCTGTCAGCGCAAACTGTGCATTGATGTGCATGGCGAATTGTGTAGATGGGAGGGGCAAAGGAAGAAAGCAGTAGAAGTGTCCGACACAGAAAAAGCTCTGACATTCACGAAGTGAGCTCATTTGAATTATGTCACCACTTGTGCTTAGTGGAACAGCAGTTGAAGCTAAAGGGAGTAGGCCTTTTATTGTGGCAAATTGTCCTGGAACTGTTTTTCCCATGGACCATGTTATCTGCCAGTTTGTATTGTCCTGATGAACTTTAATGCCAAAAGAGTTTGAAAATTCTGTGGTTGTCTTGACAGAAACATTCACCCTTTCTATTAAATAGTCTTCCCTTGAGTCCATGTTGCACTGTTTTGAGAAGTGACTGAGGGTGTTAATTTGAGGATTGTGCGGTACTTTTGCCTGGTTAAACACAGAAAACTGATCATCTGTTTTCTTTTGGACTGAAAACAAAAGTTCACACTTGTCAACAGAGGCTCCATTTGGTAGGTAATATACTTCCATTAACTTTACATTTTGTGTGTACAATAATAGATTTCCAGCACCTTTGACCAAAATCTCCAGGAATGTTTTCATCTCTGATTTTGAGTAATGAAGATGTTTTATTTCACTTTTTTCTGCCTGTTCTGCTGTTCGCAGGGGAAATCGAAACAATGTCCCTTTGCAAATATCCCCCTTGGCTTTCTGTCCTATGTCACAGCCAAACACTCCATCAAATGGCTGAAATTGGCCTCGCATGGTCTGCAGCATTCTCCTATTTTTGACGGAGGATAGATCTGCTTTCAGTCCTGGTCTGCCCAGATAGGTCCGATGTGGATCAAATATAACTACAGTGTTTCCACTGATGAAGCTTGGGACATCTGTCAAGTTATACACAGAATTGAAACCAAGTCCAAAACGACCAAGCTTTGTTGCATCATCTTCTTTCGTAGCACCACCAAGATCCTGAATGTTTAGAAAATCATCCTCCGTAAATTGTGCATCATTGTATGACCACAAGGCAGGACCTTGAAGGGATTCCATTCCTTTATTCATCAAAGATGTTCTAGCACTACTATTGTGTCTCTCATCATAGAGGAACATCACTTTGGTTGCTTTGGCATCTTCTGCATTTTGTATGATCTCTTTTGGTACTGAAAATCCATCTGTATATCCTCTAAGGATCCCATTTAACCGCTTGGTTAATGACTCATGCTGGCCACAGTTAAGATCAAAGGCCTCTGTCCCCTCCATAACCCTCTCAGTCAAGAGAGATACTCCAAAATACCTTGCTGTCTCTTCAGATATATCACTGTGTACAAAGTAGAGCTTCTCTTCCTCTTCACCATCTGTTGTCTGTTCCAGAAGCCATTCAGCATTGCAAAAGGTACAGTCTGTAGCAGATTTCAAAACAAGGGACTTGGAGTATTCATCTTGGTGAATTGGCAAAATAATTTCATTCGAATGGAATTTGTATGATTTCAACGTGTTAATGATGTGAAAAATGATTTGGAGATCTTCTTGCATATCATCTGAATTATCCATTCTGGCTTGAAGGTGTTTATGCTGAATCTCCTTGAGAACAGAAACCAACATTTCAGGACTTTGTTGTTTCTGCCCACCTACAGCTTCTACAATGTCTGCAATACCAATCCAAAGCTTTGGCAAACAAAATCTGTAAGGTTTGAGCTCAATGTCCTTTCGCTTTGATTTCATGGTCCAAATTTGACTGGCAAAATGAAATTCTGAATTGATCCAAATAAACTTCATTTTGCGAAGTCTTTCCTTGCATGCTTTTGTCATCGAGGAAACATTTTGCTTTGAAAGATACCTGTACAGGTCTTCCATTACTTCCATGTACTTGTGTTCTGTATCCTGTTGGGGCTGATATGATGCAATTGTTAGGTCCATATGCTCCAACACTTGATGAAGTGGTGGTTCAGATACCAATTGAAATGCATTGATGATATTTTTTGGAAGATTTGCAACTGGGGAAACTGATCCTATAACATTCAGATGATTCTCATTCCACACATTCCCAAGTCTTTCAAGCAAGCAGCTATTTTCTTCTCCAAACAATCTCAATGTGTCTGGATAACCTGTTGTTCTCCTTACTAGACGTGGAACAAATCTTACTTGTAGTAGGCTTTTCAAAGAATTTTTATAAGGTTTTGCAAGACGTGCCTTCAGAAAAGCAAATAAAGCTTTGCCTTTCCTAGCAGCAACTTCAAACTCATTTGTCCCAAGAAGGCTTTCTATGACTGCACCAGTACGGCAAAGATGTTCATCTGTGACATCTGTCACTGTTTTTAGTCCAAGCATTTTCAATCCCTGTAATAAAGATGAATCCATGAATTCAGCAGCAGGAAATTTATCTTCTCTTTCAAACAACTTGCAGAGTTCTGCCTGTGGCTCAAATAGATCACAAACCCTAAACTGCTCACTCATTTCATCTGTAGTAAGGAATTGTATTCTTTTAGCTAGCTTTAGTATGGCTTGATTTGTGAAGAAATGACATTCTTTCAGAAGGTGTAGCATAAATACTTTAACATCATTCCTGTTGTATTTATTGTCTCCATTTGCCATTAACTTCAGAATGTTGAGTGTAACTTCATCTCGAGTCACTTGTCTTGCATCAAGTAGTTGAGATAGGGCAGCAGTAGTGGCTGGAATGCACCGTAAATAAACTTCTGGATAGGGCACAACCAGTTGGTCTGCTGGCTCCAGAAGATTAATCTGTTCAATGGTTGTATCCATGTCCAAGTTGTCTGTGTTTGCAAATAGTTCCAGCTTCTGCAGTACGTCTTTGGCTGAACTGCTCAGACATTTACATTCACAAAGAAACTCAACCAAAGACCGTTTTTCCTCATCTTTTGCAATGTTGTTAAAATTAGATACCTTCTCCAAAAGTGTATCCTTCTGTGCAACATCTTCAAGGACGCTGATGACACCTTCAAAGGATGGATATTTGATAACATCTCCTATAATGGAGGCGTTTCTCTTGAGAGCATCAGGTATCTTTGATAGCGGGATGATACCAAGGTGTTCCAAAGCCAAACCTAGTCTTTGATCCAAATCACCAACAGTCTTCACATTCATGCAAATGAAACTTGAAGACACAGGATAAAGAGGCATTGTTCCATCAGCAGTGGCTTCCCCAGGGATAAGTAAATCATCTGGAAATTTGTCTTTGACATCTATGTCATGTTTTGTGATGTACTGCCATACAGAGTCAATCCATTCTGGACTAAATTGAGAATCAGATGTCACAGTTGCAACCCCTGAAGGAAACTGCACCTCCATGCACTCTTTAAGAAGACGTGCAAAGGGCTCAGATGACAATCTTTGAATGTTGAAAATTCCTGAAAATTAAAGGAAACAAAAAGTGTACAACACAACACAACATTATGCACTTCCAGCCTTATGACATTACTTGAAGTCTGGGGAAACACATTCCTTCATCACTCTGTGGATATCAAATTCTAACCACTCCATGTGAAAGTTCTTTTCAAATATGTAAATGCCTAAATGAGAGAGAGAGGGAGAGAGAGAGAGGGGATATCAAATTCTAACCACTCCATGTGAAAGGTCTTATTAAATATGTAAATGCCTAAATGAGAGAGAGAAAGAGAGAGAGAGAGGGGGGGGGGATATCAAATTCTAACCACTCCATGTGAAAGGTCTTTTTAAATATGTAAATGCCTAAATGAGACAGGGAGAGAGAGAGGGGGGATATCAAATTCTAACCACTCCATGCGAAAGGTCTTTTCAAATATGTAAATGCCTAAATGAGAGAGAGAGAGGGAGAGAGAGGGGGGGGGGGGGGGGGGGGGGGTATATCAAATTCTAACCACTCCATGTGAAAGGTCTTATTAAATATGTAAATGCCTAAATGAGAGAGGGAGAGAGAGAGAGGGGGGATATCAAATTCTAACCACTCCATGTGAAATGTCTTTTTAAATATGTAAATGCCTAAATGAGAGAGAGAAAGAGAGAGAGAGAGAGAGAGAGAGGGGGGGGGGGGATATCAAATTTTAACCACTCCATGTGAAAGGTCTTTTTAAATATGTAAATGCCTAAATGAGAGAGGGAGAGAGAGAGAGAATATCAAATTCTAACCACCCCATGTGAAAGGTCCTTTTAAATATGTAAATGCCTAAATGAGAGAGAGAGAGAGAGAGAGAATATCAAATTCTAACCACTCCATGTGAAAGGTCTTTTTAAATATGTAGAAATGTAAATGCCTGAGAGAGAGATAGAAAGAGAGAGAATATCAAATTCTGACCACCCCATGTGAAAGGTCTTTATAAATGTGTAAATGCTTAAATGAGAGAGAGAGAGAGAGAGAGAGAGAGAGAGAGAGAGAGAGAGAGAGAGAGAGAGAGAACCACCCCATGTGAAATGAAACATACATTCAACATTATTAAAGAGACCAACCTTTTTTTGCCATATCTTGAAGATAGTGTCCAGTAGTACTGTCATGAAGAACAAATCTATGTCTCAGGCCTGGAAACATGTTTATATCATCTTCATCCTCGCACACAAATACAGGGTCTGCTTCCCCAAATGTCGTGAAGGATCCATCTGCAAGAGGGAGAAGTCTCACCCCACGAAGACACTGAAAGCTGTCCTCTGTACATATGAACTCAAGCAGATGCAGCTTCTGTTGGTCTGTTATTCCTGGATAAAGGTTCTTGGACTGAAGGGTTTTTGAAAGTCCTTCTGGTGTCACAAATTTCAGTTGATCTAGATCTGGGTAGTAGGATTGCAATGCCTCATGCAAATGAGGTGGGACTACAACAATGTTTTCCTGACTCATTTTGTAGGTAACAACAACTGTTTCTTGGATTTCAGACGACACTTTCGAAGGTACAAAGAGGATTCCATTTTCAGCATTTATCCACTTGCCTCCATCATTTGGGGTGTAGAGGCTTCGTTCTCTGAACATTAACTTGTAAAATGCTTCACAAAGTCCTTTCCAGTTTTCACGTATTTGTGATTTATCAGGCAGCGCACGGTATATCTTCTCTACACAAGTCTCATCTCTTCCTTCCTTTTGCCAATACATGATCAACTCTTGTATGAGACTGACATATGTTTGAGGGAACACCTCGAGGAGTAAACACTGGTTCCATCGTATCGCTTTATCCATCTGGGATTTGTTCTTCGTTTGATCTGCTGTTGGCCACTTGATATGTCTACGGTTCTGACTCAGTGCAAAATGACCATGGACGTGAATAGGTAGGCCTGTGGGACTCTGCGCCTCAAGTGGCAAGGGCAGAAAACAAAATATATGCCCGGTTTGCTCCTGTTCAAGGGCGAAAGCTAAGCCAACACACGGGCATGATGCAATGGTTTTGTCAAAGCACAGTTTCTTGAATGATTTTGAAATTTTTCCATCTTGAAAGTGCTGAATCACGAGCCATATGCTGTTGTTACAGTTCTGGTGTGTTGACATAAAGTCACATGTTTCTACTTTCATGTAGTATATCTTCTCAATTGGCGATTTTGGTAACCCTCCCTTTAGTTCCTTTATGGATTCTACAAATTCTTTTCTAATATTTACAGTGTCTCCTACATAGCTACTCGTGTCAACAGTGAAAAGAGTCTCACAACTGTTTTCTGGAACTTGCTTTCCAAAGAGACTTGCACCTTTCTGACAAACCTGAATCCTTGACAATGACTTCAGGAAGAGCAGCATATGAGGGGCCTCAGCTTGGAATGCACTGAAGAGATCTCGTATTTTATTATCATCATAAATAATGTCTGACAATTCTGTCACTTCTCCTCGGAGGGGAAACCAAAATAGAGTGCCTTTGAAGAATCCATCCTTGAGTGTTTGGGCTGAAAACCCAAATATACCATCCAGAACTCGAAGCAACAAATCTTTGGAAAATTCAATCCTGTCCAGTCTGCTCATATAGCACACCATCTTTGGGTCATCTTCCCACATGTACGGATCTAGTAAAAGGATGTTGTGACCAGATACGATCAAAGGCACATCTGAAACAAAATAAAGATACTGATGTAAGTGAGCGCATAAACACTATAGATGTAGTCAGCTACATTCCAACTATATCATATTTTGCCTGTGAGTTGTGTCTAGGAAAGCCAGTTTGTTTGTTTGTTGTTTAACACCACACGGAGCATTATTCCAGCTATATGATGGCCGTATATAAATAATCGAGTCTGGACCAAACAATCCAGTGATTGACATCATGAGCATCGATCCATGCAATTGGGATACATGCATAAACCATGTCAGAGAGGTAGTTGCTCTTATGACAAGCTTAGTCACCTTTTGAGGGCAAGCATGGGTTGCTAAGACCTATTCTAGAGGCAAGCCAGTGCCCAAAAGCATGGGAAAAATCCACGCTTTCAAAGCAGAATGACACACATTCAGATAAGTCCACCCAATCATCTCAAATAACATGCTTAGATGCAGGTTACTGGTTGCAGGGACAAATCCTACCTCTAATACCCTCTAATGTGTTCAATGTTATGTAACATTACATCCCCTTCCAGCCAAAGGTGATGCACATGGAATCCAGTCGTCATTGTAAGGCATTGTAATTCAGCATGTCGTAAACCCATGATCCCATGATCGTGCTCGTGGGTTTCACCACAGTTGTTAATGTCTAACACCTGCAGCACTTCGGGTTCCAAAGTGAACCTGACATGATGGACGTAATTTAATTTAATAGAAATACTGTGGAATGTGGCGTCAAGCCAAACCCACCCACTCTAACATGAAACCTGAATGGATAGGCAACCATGCTTGGACAAAAGGATAGGTGAAACTGACATCCACAAGACAAAATATGTTTGTACCTGTCAGATGAAAGACTGACTTGAATCCCAGTCCAAAGCGACCAACTTTAAGAGGCTCCTGTTCCTTGATACTACTCTGTAGCATCCTTATGCCATCCCAGTCTTCATCAGTGAATACACCATCATTGTACACACATAAGCCAGGACCCTAAAAGTACACCACATACAAGCTTATACAAAGATGATTTTATCTGTAATGACAATAATGAAGTAATCCTTTCAAAACATTCTACCACAAAATGACTCCATAATGTTTTATCTGACATCAACATTTATAAAAATTTATAAATTTATAAAAAAAATACCTCTCGTGAATGGCATGTGTTTTAGTCTAAACATAACATAAAAATATTACCAGCCGCAAAGCATACGGTTGCTTTTCTTATCAACAGTCCTGATACTGAACAGTGTGACCGACTCAGTTGGCAAATGATCACAGCTCACGTGTACATGCTAACTAACATGGTGGTCAGTCTAACTTCGTAAAGAGGTATAAATGTATATCATGTGACATCAGTGAATGACATAATCACAGATAGCTCCTTAATTCATGTAAGACTGTGCTGAACCAGAATTGCTTGCAATAACTTTCTCTCTACCCATGAGGGCTGTAACGCCAGCACATGGCACGTAAATTCATTACTGGAGGACTAGACGCAGGCATATTGGCAGTCCAAGAAATTTTATTCTATTCACTTTTCTTAGTCGGTTAAACTGTAAGATGAATATCATTCATGATTACTGTAATTCTACATTATTGGAGAAAGTCTCACTTTGACACAAGTCACTTAATACACCCACACTAACTTACATTAAGAAATTGGCACTATGTTGCCTATCAAAGTCAGTTACCGTATTCGACGTAATAAGCACCCCGCTCAAATAAGCGCCCACAACGTTATTTGCTGATATATTCGCTAGTGAACAGTCCCAATTAGCACCCCTTCCGATTGATCAATGTACACAAGACTTATTTATTCGCGTGTAATACACAGTCGTGTGTTATATGCACCCTTAATTATGGGCAATTGAATTCTGGAAAAATATATCTGTCGTACATAAACATTTCAGTCTGTCACCATAAACCACGAAATTCATTTTTCAACTCTGGTTTTTTTTCACCAAAATAATATTCTAATAAGAGCCCCCTATTTCTAATTTTGAGAGCACCTAGGCGCTTATTACGTCGAATACGGTAATCATGAAAATATTGTTTACACCTGTTATAAATTCACCTCAATCATACACTTACATGCCCTCACAAAACACCAGTAACAAAAGGTGGGAAATGCTCCAGCCGGTTATATGAGCTCCAATGGATTAATAACTTCAGTAGACAGTTCCATATTTCTTTCCTCGATCAATATCAATAGATCCCTTTTGGGTGAGATTACATGTATATATACCTTGAGGGTCCGAAGATGTGGGAAGCCCTCAACTGACGAGGGACTGAAGGGACGCCCATCATACAGAATCTTCACTTCCGTGGCATCCGCATCCTCGGCATTCTGTATCAGTTCCTGTAAATAAAAGCAATAAAACCCTTTTCATGCGCATAAGAAGTCTCTGATAAAAGCAGATTTGTTGTACGATTCAGACTATACCATGAGCATGTTTGTAAGAATCACTACTAAACACTGAACACCAGGTGTTCGCGAGCGTATCCTGCCCCACCGGTGGCACCCGTCACAAATAGCATGCTCGATTGTACCTCAAAACATGCAGGGGTGTCAGACTCTATATATAAATAGTAAAGGGTGTACCTATGAAAGGAGAACCCCCTTATATTTTACCTTAAGAATCTGTCCATCATCAGGGTATTGGTCCAGGACCACTTTTAGCTGTTTGATGAGGGAGGGGAGTTTCATGCTGGAGAACCCCTCCCTCGGGAGTCCGCTGGGGGCACCTGTCAAGCACAGAGAACATGGTGTGAGGGGCATCAAGGGACATATAGTAGTCTAGTAAGATCTGCTGCAAAAAATATAATTGTAATCGTTATTATCAAATAAATAATTTTCAAATATTTCTCAAGTTTCTTGAAAGTGATGAATGAATTGAGTAAAATAACACTAAAGTCCACTTTGGCCGCAAGTACATTTGCAGAAAGGTTCGAATCTGGTTTTCAAAATTGCTGCCACTGTAGCCATATTGAAAAAATTATCTATTTTTACAAAATGTCCTGAAATTTGGTATATGTATAGTTAGAAATTGATTTGTTGCTCAACAGACCTAGATTCGACCTTTGCGCTTCAACCATACTGAAAGTTGAAACTTTTTATGTCCATTACTAAACCCTTTTCTTTCAAAAAGTATTGAAATTTGGTATATATGTAGTGAGTGGTGGGCTATGACATATCTGTTTCGTTTTTCGTGATCTGTTCCGTTTAATTTTGTCCTATATTTGATCTTTGCACTTTGACCATGCTCTTTAATTCCCCGAAAATGCATTTTCTAGCACTGTAAACATCATCTCCTCAGACACCTGTGGATCAATGAAACTCAAACTACACCTGCTCTTTCCCACCAATGATGACAGCTACATTTGTCCAAGAGTTTTGAATCCAGTTTTCAATATGGATGCGTCAAATTTGGAAATGTCATCCACAAGTTCACCCAAAAAACTTTTTGAAAGCTCACCTAAAGCCTTGAATGATGTAACCCTGATCAAACAACAATTGAGCAAGAGTCCTATTTCTGGAAAATTGAAGTCATCCCTCTTGTCATATGTGACAGACCCTTGTCGTCAGGGAGGTTTGTTTGGGTCAGTATTCTATTTGAATTCCTTAGAAGTTGACGGATGACGGTAGGCACAGTTTATGGATAACAACTTCCTTATTTACTTAAGGGGAACGTTTCGGTACAGAACCTAATTCTGTTGTCAAGCTAGGCTGAATAATGTGCATGGTACAGAATATATATAGTAGACTATGGTAACTGTTATATGTAATCTGTACCATCGCCTATACAGTGAATAAATAAGTTGTTATCAATACATTGTGTCTACTTTGTAGTATTTTATTTGAGCTATGGTGTCCCAAAATACACTGTGTATAATTACACTGTAATAAAATTGAAATTTGAATTATATACTATAATATGGAGGAAGAAGGCCATAATTTAAGTTTAGTGATGAACTGTACATCTCAATGTACATCAACAACAACCTTAAGTTGTCATGAGTCAGATTTACCTTTCCCCCTTTGTCTCTCCGGGGGCACGTTGTGCAGAGTTGCGTCCCTTGGACATGCCAGAAACCTATGATTGTGGGTTCGAATCCCAATTATGTTTCAAGGTTTGTCAGCACCATACCCGTGCTCGTGGGTTTCACCGAAGTGGTTAACGTCTGAGACCTGCATCACTTTGGGCTTTCCTCCCACATTTAAACTGACACGCCGTGATATAACTGGAATACTGTTGAAAGGGGCGTTTAACCCAACTCACTCACTCTTTGTCTCTCCCCAACCCAAACAACCTCACCTCCACCCACGCTTGAGCTACATGTCTATTGTCGAAAGTGTTATGTCACTCTAAATCTTTATACAATAGATCCCTCCGATGGATTGAGCTCACTGTACTCTTTCATTTCAAGCTCAGGTGGGTCCTTTTGACTTACTCATATCCCGTTTTGGAGAGCTAGTTCCGTACCACTGTCAGACGTTATCTGAAGCAAAGAAAAACATCATGTGTACAAATATAACAATCCAAATGCTCTTTGTTTTCATCAATTTGGTAAAGGTATGGACTTAAATGGAATTAGATAGGTACTTGGTGAATGATAAAATGGATGAGTGAATGAGAAAAAGTAGGAAAAGAGAAGGAAAATGTTAATCTTGTCATAGCGACTGATTTACGACTTCCATTGACTGAAGTACATTTGACTCCAAAGGCAAATTACCCTGTAACCATGTCTCCATAACTTAATTGTCATTACGTTTTAGACGCTAACCCCCGTTGTTAATCCTCACCAACATTTCATTGTATATTGACTGACAGCCAACCTGGGCTGCTATATCACTTCCCGTTCATTAGTGTTATTTATAGTATGGCATTTATTGCCTTAATTGTTCATCCCCTAAGCTGTGTCATCCCCAGAAGTCATTGTCTTTCCATTGTTGTTCAGTACTATATATGTGCTACCATTACACACGCCACAAGGCAGCATTATAAGCCCAACCCTGTTAATGATCTTTTTGACCATGTCAACTTTCCTACCCAAACTTCTAAGTTCGCTGATGACGGAGCAATATGGGTAAAGCACAGAGATATTTCACAAATCAGAAAAAAACTCCAGTCAGCCCTGGACGGAGTAGATCAATGGTGCAATAAATGGGGATTCACCATTTCAAGTGAAAAAACTGTTGGAGTTCTATTCAAACGCCGGGGGGAAAGATGCTATGATACCCCGTGTCTCCATAAAAGGCAAATCTGCAATATTTCTTGGGGTGATCCTTGCTCAACACCTCACTTGGCGCAAGCATATAGAATATGTCGAAAACAGATGTCAAAAAGACCTGAACGTATTACGGGCAATTTCAGGCACATCTTGGGGCACATCGAGGGACACTCAGCTGGACCTCTACAAAGCTCTTATCAGATCAAATTTGACTATGGTTGTGAGGCTTTTCATTCAGCATCAAAAACTGTCTTGAGGCGCCTAGACAGAATACAATACAAAGCCCTAATGCGAAAAATAAAAGACTAAAAGAGAAAACTCAACCCTACTACGATCAGTAGCTATCACTAAAATTCAAACTACCTGGGACAGCTGGGCCCATATATACACTGATGGATCTAAGAATACTATCAACAACAGTGTTGGTTACGGGATCCATATCCACAGCTCCAAACCCCAAGCACATTCAGTTCGATTGCCTGATGGTCAGTCATCATGCACTCAAACTCATACCGGAACTCCCGGAAGCAAAGGCAATCGTCCTATCAGACTCGCTAAGTGCACTTCAGGCCATCAGTGGCAGAAACTCAAACTCCAGGCCAAACAGTCAACAATATTCTGTACGAATATACAAAACTATCGGACCAAGGGCAACAGGTGGAGCTGTGTTGGATCCCCTCTCACATAGATATTCATGGAAATGAAAAAGCAGACTCACTGGCGAAGCTAGCTCTAGACAAAGCGGATATACAGCCTATTCCCTTTAGTAAACTAGAGATAAAAGCAAAATCAAAGCCTCCATAGCAGAAAGATGGCAAGCCGAATGGGACGCAAGTAAGATCGGCAGATGGCTATACAAAATTCAACCCAAGGTCCAACAAAAGCCAAACTCATACTCAAATGAAAGGAAAATTGAAATTGCTATCTCACGCCTCAGACTTGGTCACAGAAAGCACTATGACAAGGTTTGTTCATCTTGCAATCAGGCTGAAACCATTGACCACGTGTTACTAGAATGTCAAGACCATGCCCCAGCCCGGGCTAGGTTAAAACAAGAATTGCAGTTAGATCTGCTATCAGACATTGATCTCCTAAAGCCAAGAGATGCAATTGCGAAGGCCAAACTAACTCTATTTCTGAGAGATGAACAGCTGCTCGAACGTATATAAACAAAACAGCCAAGGATAAAAATGAAATCATATCAATATAAGAAAATAGAAATCATATCAATGCAAAAACAGAAATTATGTGAACACCGAACTCACAATAGATATGTGAACCCTTCTCACACACAGGAGTCCCAAAGAGGGACAGGTCAGCCGAAATTGCCTAGGCAGAAGGCGACCTCTTAAACACCTAATGCAACAACAACAACAGTTACTACGGCTTCAAACTCACCTTCCCCAACCAAGATACACTTCCACATGCCAGCAGACACCCAATAATAGACGGGCTTAACATTACATGGCAGGTGCCCAAATGGTTCACACAAATACAAGGGGTAATATACATAGACCACAGGGACGCACAAGAGGACATCCAAGACTACATCAACATGGCAAACAAAATCCACTCACAACCCAAGATTATAAATTACAAAAACATCAACAATCGCACACTCATCCCGGGCAGGACAACCACCCAAACAGTATTTCTGACATTCAAAACAACAGATCTCCCAACACACATCATTTTCGGCACACTCACATATAATGTAAACCCCGTCAGGAAAAATCCCACCTAATGCACCATCTGCCACTCCTTCAATCACCCTACATCCACCTGCAGACAACCACCCATGTGTCAGAAATGCGGCTCGTATAGACACGAAGCCGCAGAATGCACATGGGCCCCATACTGCACACAATGTTAAACAGAGGGTCATGCAGCAACTCAATACACCTGCCCGATAATAGAAACACATATCCTCAAGCTAAATAAACACATCACAATAGACCACCTACCAAAACCCGCCACCATCCCAACTTACAACTCCATACCTGAATACCTTGACCTAGACACCACATCTGACTCCATGTCCAGCTCCCTCCCCGAACCCCCACCTCCCCCTCCACGCCCCCAAAGAAACAAACGCAAACAACTCTTTGCCACCCATAACCCCTTACCAGTCCCAGCCGCCCCCCCCCCCCCCCACTACCCCCCCCCCACCCCCCTCTCTCCCCCCCAACCACCCTCCAACGCCCCCCGCTGGCCAAAAAATTCAACCGCCCTCAAAATGGCTCTGCTTCCCAACCCCCAACCCCCACCGCCCACCGCCCCATACTACATCCCAAACCACAACCATACCCCCCCCCCCCCCCCCCCCCTCCTTCACCACCGACCCCATTCCGGCCCTCCTCTCAATCCAAACAGTCCCCCCAAATAAACCCCACCCCCTCCCCCACAAGACCCACCCCTACCCAAACCCAAACCCCCTGCCAAATCAGCCATCCCAATCCCATCAAACCACCCCCAACACAGACACAAACAAATCAACTATAAGATAAACACTACAAGGAAACAACTGCTCTCTCACAAACTGCAGACACTCAAAACATCCCCCTCATTGATAGTCACACCCAAAAAACTAAACTCAAATACAAACAAACTTATCGAATTTATATCAGCAGCCATCCTCATTAAAAAAAAACACCCCCAAGAAACTCCACTCCCTGGCCCAGCTCGCAAACCTCTACCATAAAACATTTCAAAACTTTCAAGCAGCCATCAGGGCACTTAAATGAAACCCTTCCTACCATCTTCCAAATTAGCCCCGGAACACCATGCCATCCAGAATCAAATTCCCCTTCATTCTAAAACCCGATAATGGGCATGACCTTAAGGCCCTCATAGCCCTTGAAAAAATTAGTCCATTAATAATCGCAGTACAGGAAACCAAAATATCCCCCCCAAAAGCCTTCAAAATTCCAGGCTATTTTTTCATTCGGCAAGATAGACCCCGCCCCACTAACTACCCCAGACCACCCCATGGTGGCCTTGGCATATTCATCAAAGAACATCTCAACTATGAAACAATAGATATCCCAACCCCAAACCTTGAATGCCTGGCTATCAAAACTACCATAAATCAAACTAAAATCAGTATTATAAATGTGTACCATACAAAAACAAAACCATTCACAGGTGAAGATTTAGAAGTACTAACTAAATATATTGATCAAAACACTATTTTTCTAGGCGATTTCAATGCTCACCATCCACTGTGGGGCACAAAAAACTTCACAGATAAATTTGGGAAACTAATCTACAAATGGACAGAAACAAACAACCTTATTTGCTTAAACGACAACCAACCCACTAGAATCCCCACAAATCACCTCCAATCCCCTTCAGCAGTAGATCTAACTATCAGCACACACCCCCCCCCCCCCCCCCATCTCCAATCAAAACTAAGCTGGGAGGTACATTCGGACACCTGGGGCAGTGACCACATGCCCATCAAAATTTCGATCTCTCTACCCACTCAAAACCCATCCCAACCTCATTCCAAATCCCCAATCGACCCCCCTTTAGACTATACCTCCCAGCAATCTAAACTTAACTTAAAAAAGGCCGACTGGAAAACTCTCAACACACTATGCAACCAAATAAACATCCACCATATCCATAACACTGACAATGACATCTTTAACTCAAACTTCACTAACACTATACATAAAATAGCTACACAATGCATTCCCACAGTCAAAATTTCACCCAAACAAACACCTGTCCCTTGGTGGAGCCCAGAAATTGAAAAAATCTAGAAAACTAGAAAACTTAGAAAAAAGCACTAAATAAAGCCAAGCGGGACATAACCAAACTCCCCCCTGGCTAGAAATCTCAGAAATTCAACTAAACAACTCATAAGAGCAGCCAAAAGAAAACATTGGAAAACTTTTACCAGCTCCTTGAAAATGGGGAAACAAAATACCAAAATTCTATGGAAAAAACTTAAGGCCATAAAGGGCACTTCAAAATCCTTCTCAGCCCCCTCTTTTCCTAACCTAAATACCGATAAGAAAAGGCTAACGCCATGGCTGCTCACTTCTCGGCCACTAGCAGCTCCACCAATCACACTCCCCACATGCAAAACACAATAAAAAATCACCCCACATACACACACAGACCCCCACTCTTACACATGCCACTTAACAAAATAATCAACATTCATGAACTACAAACAGCAATCAATAACAAAAACACAGCCCCAGCCACAGGTCAAGACAACATCAGCTACACCATCATCAATCACCTTCCCCCAAAAA